AATGGTCACAAGCTGGCGGAGGGAAGGTTTAAGTTGGACATCAGGAGGCGCTACTTCACGGTCAGGGCGGCTAGAGTCTGGAACCAGCTTCCAAGTGAGGTGGTGCAGGCTCCTATCCTGGGGGTTTTTAAGAGGAGGTTGGATGACCACCTTACTGGGGTCGTTTGACCCCAGTGCTCTTCCTGCCATGGCAGGGGGTCGGACTAGATGATCTACTCAGGTCCCTTCCGACCCTAGAAACTATGAAACTATGAAGATGTGGGCCATGAAGAGCCACCTTAATGAGAAGAGCTGCCTTAATGAGATAAATGCCCCTTGCCCACTGATTTTTTCTGCATATGGAGTTCTCCCATCCCTATACATGGCTGAGAGGAGGGAATAGGGTACAAGATATGCTCAAGTCTTACTTGCTGCTATTCTGCTCCATAGGTTTGGAAGCAAAGATGTGGAGAGAGCCTTCCCCTTCCCCAGAAACAAGCAGCAAGGAGGCAGGAGTGTCATAGCACACAGGAATGGGCTGGATGGCTTACAAACCAAACCAAACCTTGGGCCACAGTCCCTTTGAGGCTTGGGCGTAGAGTCTCATCCCTGCAGCCAGCTAACACGTCGCTTGCCAACAGCAGTGTGCATGTGAGCACGTTGCCCTGGTCCGGAAAAGCAGCAAAGAGCGTCTTGTGGGCAGGGCACAGGGCCTCCCTGTGGAATCCTGCCCTGCCTGCCAGGATTCCTGCGGCAGACAGGGCACGAGGCACTGTTTACACTGTGCCAGCCAGGGCAGGGCTTGGTCTGTAGGTTGCAGACACAAGGAGGTCTTAGAGCAAAATGAAAAAGCACAGCCCTCCAGTATATCACCATGATGAAGGGCCAAATTGTTAAGTAGTGCAAAGTAGCATTGAAGTCCCCAGTTTGCACCAGCCTGGGATCTGACCCGGTGTGGCTATTTGGATAAGAACGCTAGGTCCCAAATGCCAACACGAACATCAACTTTCATAAGAGCTATAGGAAATGTGTTAAACAAACTAAATTCCATCCTGTCGTCCAAGTACGTCCTGTACAGGCCTTCCTGTGTGATTAAAGAAATCCTCCCTATTGAAAAAGTACAGATTGTGTAACTATTAGAAGCAGAATAAATACCACTTTTTATGAGTAGCAAGATAACAGACAATCCCGGAACACTGATCCCAGCTGATCAGGTTGTTAAACTGTCATTTTAATCTATATCTTCTTTTAATCCTCAAGAGCCCTGATTCTCTCCCTGAAGCAAGGGCCATGTGAGTGGCCCTATGATTGGAACATCATAAAATCCAGTTTCTCTCTTCATACTTATCAAAATGAAGAAGATTCCCTACACGAGGGGTGGCAGAAGGTAGGGCAGGGTGGTACCTTAGAGACTACGTGGTTCACAGAAGCATGAGCTTTCATAGGAAACAGCCAATTTCATCAGATTTTTATTGCTGCATAGCAGTAAGCCACTAGAGGTCTCCGCTTTGCTGTGTAGATTTCCAGACTGTGGGAAACGGGGTAGATATGAAAGACAGAGCTGGAACTCAAGCCGAGTGGAAGTCTGTGTATCTGTGACTCAACTGTTTTTTAACAAGTGCCCCCTACTTAAGGCAGGCTATGATGAACTCAGAAGGTCCGCATCTCAACAAGAGAAATAATCAGTCCTACCTATCACAAGGTGTGGCAGAGCTCACTTGGTCAAGATGTGGCAGAAGACATTAATGAAGGCCTTTCCAGTAAGAATCTCGGAGAACTTTAAAGGCAGGCTTGCAAAATGCTTTATATTATATAGAAAGCACACAGTACCTCATCTACCTTACATTTACAGAAGGAAAATGTATTGATTCCCTAAGAGTACGCTTGTTTCAAGTCATGGCAATCTCATGAAAACAGACACTGCACCCTATGCAATATTCCAGGCTGAACTCTCCCACTATCTGGTAGGTTTCTCAGCCATTTATGCCGTTAAGCATTTTTTTAAACAGACCATATTTCACTTAATAGATTCATTTAATAGATGATAAAACCCAACAAAATTACAGCGTGTAGTACAAAAAGTACGCCATTCCAAAATAGTTGGCTGAAATTAAAAAAAGCCACACAGTAAAAGTTGGCGAAGATGACACATCATCAATCAGGTTATTGTGTCTTTGAAATGGTAACTGCAAGTTGACCTACAGAGTTCGGCTCCCAGCCACGACTACCAAGAGATTATAAGACTGAAGAATTACCATATGCAGATAAATGACCAGGAAAGGATGAAGGACGGTCTCATGGTTAAGGGGCTACCCTGGGAGTCAGAAGGTGTAGCCTCTATTACTGGCACTCTCACAAACACTCTGTATGACCACAGGCCAGCTGCTTATACACTTTGTACCTCAGTTTTCCCATCTGCAAAATGGGGATTAATAATATTTCCCCATCGCCTCACAGGGTTGTTCTGGGGATTTCCATTTGTCAATTGCCCAGGCTCTACAGTGTTAGGGATATGCAAGAACCTAGAAAAGCTATGTGGTCTACGCTTGTCAGAACTTTAATGAATCTTTTGATTTAAAATGTCAGTGAAAAACAAGACAAGCAACCGAGAGGGTAAACATTTTAACAGTTGTAAGACTCTCAAAAGTAAGGCAAGTCTGGCCCAAATAAGTACTTTGGTTTATCTGATCAGCTGTATAGCTGGTAGTCATTTTAAAATATCAATTCCAACAATATTTTTCATCAACATTTGACATTTTGAAGAAAAAGGATGGGGTTTTCATGAAAATTGCATCCCATTTTCAATTCAGCCCTTTGAGACAGATTCAGCCAAGGTGTAATAACTCAGGGAACAGAAGGCAGAGCCCTTCATGTCTGGGTGGCAGTTTCAAGTCCAGACCAGTATAAAATTTATTTCTCACATGCAGTGCTCATTAACTGAGCTCACTGAAAAGTTTTCCAGTCCTGCCCATTACCTTCTAGAGAGAGTAGCTGCTTCTGTTACCCCTGGAGGGGGACCTACTGCTATGGAAAGCATGCCATAAATATGTGAACACTGAATGATTTGTGCGAGCCCCGAGACCAAAGAACTTAAGACTGTTTAAAGTTGGACATACATCCAATCCTTTCAGGCTGGGGTCACCTGAAGGCCATCCAAAGCCTACACTGAATGCTTACAGAATTATTTGGCAATGTAGATGGCTCAAATGGTTTACAGGACCCTTCACTTTGGAAGGCCAAAAACTTGCACAAGGATACGAGATTCCAGGCATGCAATTAGTGAATGGGAAAAGCACTACCAGCATGGTTTATTATGTATATTGTAGTAGTGCCCCCTAGCACAAGATGAAGGCTCAGTTTTGCAAGGAACATAGGGATACATAATAAGAGACAGTCCCTTTTCTTTAATGAGCCTACCACAATAGAACTGTAGGGCAGGAAGGGGCCCTCAAAGAGATCCCATAGTCCCATCCCCCTGCTCTTGGGCAAGATTAAGTAGGTCTTGACCAAACCTGTTAAATGTCTTGAGTCTCTCTCAAAAGATATCTTTCTTAAAAAAAGAGGATTCCAGGCTCCACAGGTACCTTGTTCCAGTACTTTGCTATCATTGGAGAAGCTTTCCTTATATCTAACCTTTCCTACAAATCAAAGATTGCGTCTTGCCCTGAGCCTAATGGAAGTGGGGAATAATTGGTCACTGTCCTCTTCCAAACAACCTCACATATTTGAAGACTGCTTATTATATTCTCCCCATAGTCTTTCCTAACAGGTCACATTTTCCTAACTCTATTTTTCTGTTTGCCTCTGAATATTCTCCTA